TGGTTAACTATTTTTTATTGAAAATGTAGTCCGATACTTTTTAAAATAAAATACCAATTAGGTAATATATTTTCGGATGTAATATTTGTCCCGTAAATCCACAGTGAAAAGTATGATATAATAATACAATATATTTTTTATCTTTACCTATATATTTTTTTTTCCTCCTAAATGGATGGACTGATTTTTATGACATTTTTTGTGTATGTCTGATTGGTTTAGATTCACAATTGGACCAGGTAGGTCTAACCTGGAAAGGTGCTCAAACAGGGGTTTTTAGATTTACGATGGAAATGTTTATTTATACTTGGTTGAGATTGGTTATAGGATAGATCATTACTAATTAGTGGAAATTAGTATTGTTTTTTGTATATAAATGGTTGCCATTAGTTATAAGTACTCGGGAAGATGAGGTAAAATCATCCACCAAATCGTTTATGCGGTTTCGAATAAAAAACCAGATGTACAGAAATTATATCATAAAACAAATATGTGTGTTGAATGTATTTTTATAGCTATTATATAGGTACTCAAAAACTACCTACTTAACCGATTTTGTAAACATTTAAAATTTTTCTTGGAGATATCAGGAAAGTTTAAAGAGTAGTTTGAACCACGTTCGATAGATGCCAAGTGCTATATCCAGTCCACCTGCACAATTAAATTGTCTATCTTGGTTGAATTAGTTCGTAAAGTGACTCAAATTGAACTGGGGTAGGTATATCAAAACCAAGATACACATTATTTTATAATTATAATCTAAATCCGGTTATACAACTAAAATTGGATGTCGGAACAAAAAAACGACTGTATACCATGTTTAATAAAAATTATGTCAATATTAAATTGGTTGAAACTTGGAATCAGAGTCTTCATTCAGGGGTGGCAGGGTAGGCATCTGTCCCCCCCTTGTCATTAACGGGACACTATAGGCCCGAGTATGGGCTAGTTTTGGGACTTCATATATAGTAGCTATAAGAAGACGTAATATATTATATAATTTATTCCTCTACATATTATTAATTAGGTATTTAGTTATTCGTTGTTTATGTCAAAAAAATGGGTTACTTATGTATATATGATAGTAACCACGGTTATCTCAGATAACCACGATGGTAACTATATAGTGTGGTCTACGAAAAGTAGGCCGCGATCGTCAAACGCCCATCGGCCGTTTTACGGCATGGGTCTCCAAATATTTTACCACCTATAATAATTTCAAATCGTGTAATATCACGTTTATGGTACAACAGAACTATGTACCAACATAAACAAAATTTTTTTTTTTTTTATAGTACCTTTACTAGTATCTACAAATTTGCTAGATTAAACCAGTGTGAAAAATAATGCACCGGGATGTTTGGACCATATCGTTTACGTGGTTCATTATCCCGGTGAGGGATAATGTGGGATAATTTTAAACCGGTCTAGTTTAGCGAATTTCTAGTATATGATAGTAGTAGTAGCGGTATTTTTTTTCAGTTTTTTTATGGGCTGGTAAAAAAATGTTGCCCTCTCTTTCAAAAACATAAAGAACGCCCCCGCTTGGAAGGTGTTTATTACCCAATTGTTCAATTCCTATAGGCTATAATAGATATCTAGTAAAAGGGTAGTTTGCACATGATTTTCTTTTTCAGCTTACCAAAAAATAAAATGTTTTTGTTTATCTTAAGGGTTAAATATTATATTAATATTATAATTTATTAAAATAAATATGCCGTATCCATTTTTTAATATAATTCCTATAAAACGTATCAAATTAACGTAAAATAAACAGTTGAATCACAAGAATTTCGGTAAATAATTTTTTTAACAACCATAAAATATTATGAATAAGGTATAATTTGTAAGTTAGTATAACAAAATAGGTAGGTACATTTAATATTATTACTATTTATCACGATCCGAGGGAATTCGCCAAAACCATTTACATGATCAAGGGAATAAGAGTGAGAGACAGACAGGCAGAGAGGAGAACTCATTAAAATGGACTTTATTAACAGTAATTAATATAATAATGTTTAGAACAGTTTAACTTGTGTATACGCGGTAGGTATCACACAATAAATTAACCCATTTATGTTTATTTCTATTATGTTTTACCTGTGATATGTGAAATTTATTTTTCATCACAAATATGCAACCTTAGTAATCAAATATTTTATAATGCAAAAAATTTAAAATGTAAAAATTATAAAACCATACCTATTAGGCTTTTGTTTGTCATCATGTTTGAAAACGAAACGTGATCAATTTTAAATTCAAAGACTTACTTTTAAAGGTCAATGTTTGTAGGACACTTATATATGACGTTTATGCGGTATACCCATTACCTTAACTCAAATTATCCATTATATAATAAATTATAATCCATTTTTACCAAGAATGTTAAATATTGTATAAAAGTAATAGCATTGTGGTGTTTGGAATATAATAAATAATATATCATTCACTTGTATTGTTATCGCAGCTTTACAGAGAATTCTAATCTACTATAAGAGTACATTATGAATTAGTTGGAATATAGAGTGGAAGTACTTGCAATGTTATATTTGTAGAAAAGTACTAAAATAATAGTTTATTTTAAAATTCGTTCCGTTTTTTTATTGTAAAACGTTTAAAATTAGATAAAATACTGGTTCTATAAATTTTGCTGACAATATTTTAATATTTTATTTAAATCAATATTTAAGGAAAACGATTAATTACATTGATAATGATACAATGAAAAGGTTAAAGTTATTAATGTAAATTAAACAAAAAGTTTATGGTGACAAGAAGTGTCGAACTTAGTGATGTAATTTATATTTGTCGATAGCCGTTTAAAAATCATATAAACTAAAATGAATGATATAAAAATGTCTACAAATAATATATTTACTTAATAAAACATGTAGTAAATAAAGTATCTTATAATAAAAACCATCAAAAATAAAGATATTATAGGTATCTTTATTATGTACACGTATGTATATGACGTTTACACACTAACGTGAAACTGGCACTACAAAGTTGGCACAATAATCTAAAACCATTCCAACAAACTCTACTCGGACTTGTTAGACGTTGTTGGACAATTGTTGGAATTTGTTGGAATGTATTTCAAAAGTTATTCAAGTTCAAAGTTTGTAGGGCCAACTACATGGCCGGCACTACATATACAAATAAAAACTTTAAAACTCTACCAACAATACTCATATAACATTGTTGGACATTGTTGGAAACTTGTTGGAATTTGTTGGAACGTATTTCAAAAGTTATTCAAGTTCAAAGTTTGTAGCGCCAACTTCACAACCAGCACTACAAATAAAAATAAAACCCTAAAAACAGATCCAAAAATATACACATACAATTTTGAGACGTTGTTGGACTTTTGTTAGACTTCGTGTTAAGTAGTTAAAATTGGTTCATATAAAAAATAATATAACAATTAAAAATTAAAAATTATCATTATATTGAATCCTCGTATCCAACAACCTGAAAACTTGGTCCAACAAACTTGTCTACACATCTTAGAATGTGCGGATTGACGGCTGCACATGTAAAGCCGATGACGGGTACGTGCGCGCACGGACGGCGGCCAACACGTTACGCGTCGGGCGTGTAATTACTTATGCGAAACCTGTCGATAGCCCTGTAAGAAGGTTAGAGTGGACTGTATAGTGAGGTTGTACGAGTGCTAAAATGATGAGTGAGAGATGTCTAAGTCAAAATAACAACAATGGTTTTATATATATGATGTGCAGAACGATTTATTAAAGATGTTCTGCAGAAAAATAAACTTAAGAACTAAGGTTAGTATACATGAGGCAAGATCACATACGAACTGCCGAGACAATCGAATAACACAAAATATATGTAATAATACAATAGTAGGTAGGTACGTCGAACAAATGACGAATAAATCAAAATAAAATAGTAAACAATAAATGATAACGTGTGTACGACCTGATACCGAGTGGTTTGTGTTGACAACACGACGATGATGCTGCAGATGACCTGGACGACGAAGTGAGCTGGGTCGCAACACTTGTACTACCGTCGAATTGGACGAAATGGTCGACGGTTGTGTGGAGGTGATCCAAAACTGGACGACGTGGGCGTTGATCAGGATGATCGAACGCGATACTCGCCGGTTGCAAGATTTGCACACGCAATACGAGCGACGCGAGCACGTTCGTTGTTGCGGCGTAAACAACAACGAAACAAATTAACTACAAAACAGGACACGGTTCGCACTGCGTAAAACGGGCGGGCGGAAACACGTGGTTGTGACCGAGCAGGGTTCGGAATCACACGGTGAAGGTCGGGCGAGCGACGGAACTTAAACGAATGGTTCGTAGGTTTTGAGTTTTGACACAAGGCGGCCGTGACTCGAATCGTGGACACAAGGATGTGCACGACGAATTGGTGAGCGCGAGGGCTGGGATGCACGGAACAAAAAAAACGGCGTGTATTGCCGGCGGCGGCGCACCGGATCGCGACCGTAACAGCATACGGCTACCACGACAAATTGCCAAGACGGCTGGTAAACGACAAAGTTTTGTGGCGGCGGCGGCGGATCGCTGGAGGAACGACTGCGGCGAGACCGTCCCCTCTCCGATGGTACAAAGGCCGACTTTACGGCGCGTCGGCGATAGACTCCAGGATGGCAAACATCGCGACCCGGGACGTGACGGCCACGTCGCGCGAAATTTAAAAATAATGAATTTGGTATCCAACATTTCCTCCCCGCGTTGAAAGACCAGGGCGTCTTTCAAGAGATCATCAAACATGAAGATGGACGTTGAAGTCAGATCGTACACATTACAAAAAAATACGGAGCAAAAATACATGATAATACACAAATAAATAATAATTAAAAATATCTACATAGTACCTGACACTCATCAATAGACAAATACATAAATAAAGTGAACCAGAATGTGACTGTTGCACAAAAAAAAAAAAAAACAATTACAAAATTTACATAATGAGGACCTTGGGGAATGAGGACAAGTTTAGGGCTCGACTGGTAAACGCACAAGTTTCACGACCGGGCGCTTGTAGATACCGTCCCGAGTGCGCACGGACACGACACGGACAACATCATCGGCACCTGGGTGGACCTCGGTGACACGGCCGAGCCGCCATTCGGTAGGTGGTCGAGATGGGGCCTCGACAATGACCATATCGTTGACCTTCAAATTTGGAGATGACTTGTACCATTTTGAACGACCTTGCAACGACGACAAGTACTCACGGGACCACCTCTTCCAGTAAGACTGGTGGCATTGGCGTATGAGTTGCCATCGGTTCAATCTATTAATCTTTATGTCAGTGATGTCACGTTCTGGTAGGGCGTGAATAGGTTCTCCGATCAAGAAATGCCCCGGAGTCAAGGCGCTTAAATCGTGCGGGTCAGATGACGCCGGCGTGATTGGTCGAGAATTGAGGATACCCTCGACGCGGGTAGTCAAAGTAACAAATTCTTCATGAGTTAATATCTGCTGACCAATAACATGCTTGAGATGGACCTTGGCACTCTTAATTCCAGCTTCCCAAATGCCGCCGAAGTGCGGTGCGGCAGGCGGATTAAAATGCCACGTGCACGCCAGATGTGAAGAGATTCGATCCTGCTCTTTGGCGTTGCGAAATAGCAGTTTGAGTTGACGCGCAGCACCCACGTAATTCGTGCCGCAGTCAGAATAAATATCGGTAGGAATCCCACGTCTAGCGACAAAGCGATCCAAGGCCGCGAGAAACGCATCAGTGGTTAACTCTGTGACGATTTCGAGATGAACTGCCTTCACAGCCATACATACAAATAATGCCAGATATACTTTCACTGATTGGGCGCTGCGACGTTTATGCTCTTTCACAAGAAAAGGACCTCCATAGTCCATACCGACATGGGAAAATGGTCGATGAGGTCGAACTCGGTATGGCGGCAAATCGGCCATGATTGGCTGAGGACGGACGGCCTTGTGACGTGTGCACGGAACACAAGCAAAAATTTCACGACGCACTGCGGCGCGGCCAGACATGATCCAAAACCTCCTGTTCAACATTGACAATATCAGCTTCGGTCCGCCATGGAGGAACGACAAATGATAATGACGAATTAACAATGTCGTAAGATGTGAATCTCGTGGCAGCAGAATCGGGTGCTTCGAGTCAGGGTGTATAAAGGAAAAGCGTAGGCGGCCTCCGACTCTCAAAACTCCTGTCTCATCGACGTAGGGCGCTAATTGAGCTAACGACGGAGGTGATATCGTAGACTGTTTCTTCAACATGTTAATAAGTTCGGAAAAGTAATATTTTTGTGTCTGGCGTACGACAACGGATAGTGCAGTTTCGTATTCTAAAAACATTGGTGGCCCCGAACAAACGGGCTGTCGGCGTGAGCGACGTACAAAACGGAAAACGAACGAAAGGACACGTTGCATTCTGGCAAGCGATGAAAACCGAGTGAACAACTCAAGTGGAGATGACGATACATTGGCGACAAGAGTCGAAGTGACGTTAGGCCTGGTCTCGGGCAATTGGTCAGGACTCAATGGCGTGAATTTGGACTTAGGCCATTGCTCTTCCGGCCGTCCCAAGAACTCTGGGCCATTCCAATAGATATCCGATGACATCGCAGCCCTGGGTAGAAGCCCGCGGGAAGCAGGGTCCGCGGGATTCTCGGCGGTCGACACGTGACTCCACTTGCAGGCAGGGACAAGCTGGTGGATTTTGGCGATTCGATTAGTGATAAAAATCTTAAAATATTTTTGATCCGATGTCAACCATGACAAAACGATGGATGAATCGGTCCAGGCACGAAGACAAGTTATGGAGATCTCGGACGACAGAACCTGATGGACATGGTGGAGTGTTTGCGCCAGCAATAGCGCCCCGCATAGTTCCAAACGCGGTATCGACAGAGAATCGTCGGCGACGGCAGTCTTGATAGGGGCGACCCCCGAAATTTAAAAATAATGAATTTGGTATCCAACATAGAAGAAGAAAAAACATTCCAACAACCTTTCTAAGTTCTACAATCACCATTTTCTTCTAGCACTACATTTTTCATTTTTTAACCTAATATTCACATTAAAAATTTTTAAATCTCGTTTTATTAAGATCTTGTGTCCAACAACTTTAAAACATGGTCCAACAAACTTGTCTACACATCGTAGAAGAAGAAAAAATATTCCAACAACTTTTCTAAGTTCTACAATCACCATTTTTTACTAGCACTACATTTTTCAATTTACAAATATTTTCATATTGACATTTTTTTTTTTCATATTATTGAGTTCTGGTGTCCAACAACTTTAAAAAGTGGTCCAACAAACTTGTCTACACATCTTAGAAGAAGAAAAAACATTCCAACAACCTTTCTAAGTTCTACAATCACCATTTTTTACTAGCACTACATTTTTCAATTTACACATATTATTCATATTGACATTTTTTTTTTTCATATTATTGAGTTCTGGTGTCCAACAACTTTAAAAAGTGGTCCAACAAACTTGTCTACACATCTTAGAAGAAGAAAAAACATTCCAACAACCTTTCTAAGTTCTACAATCACCATTTTCTTCTAGCACTTTTTCATTTTTTCACCTAATATTCATATTAAAAATTTTTAATTGTCGTTATATATGTTAGCGTTAAAGTATTTAATGGCGATATTTCATGAAATACCTAGCTATTATATACATTAACCAAATCAATGCGATAAAACATATAATATTAAATTTAACTAGGTATTTTATGAATTCCCCGCGATTGCTCAGTTATAGTTTATATATTAGATTTCGTTAAGATAAGGCGAGATAACGTCAATAATAAGTGACGATCAAATCTAACCCAACGTTCCAATCAATTTATTATTTCGTTGTGGTAGAACATAATATAATATGTTTGTTTCTCATCCAGTTGTATGCAGTACACCATAGATACATTTAACGCATTATAAAGCTGTAGTACCTACACGTGTTTTAATTTTTTGATTGAATTTTTTAAAAAATATATTCAATATGGATGAAACAATGATTCTTATGAAACAAAAATTTTACGAATCAATTGAAAAACGTGAGTACAAAAATAATAGTGCTATTTTATCTAGTGAAAAATATTTAAATTTGATATCTGACGTCAAAAATATGAAAATTAAAAAAACTCAAACCCGTGATTATTGGCTTGCGAAACATTATGATATTTTTTGTTTATTTGGTGCCCCCGCTTCTCTTCAATCTGACAATGGTAGGGAATTTTGTAATGAACTAATTAATTCATTGCGTGAGATGTGGCCTGATTTAAATATCGTTCACGGGAAACCACGGCATAGTCAGTCGCAGGGCAGTGTTGAACGAGAAAATCAAGATATTGAAAACATATTGACAACTTGGATGCAAGATAATAACACCAATAAATGGAGTGAAGGACTCAGATTCGTTCAATTTATGAAAAATAAAGCCTATCATTCTGGAATTAAACGAAGCCCATACAATGCGATGTTTGGAACTGACCCTAAAACTGGCCTAACATCAAGTATATTGCCACACACTATATTACAAGAAATACCATCAACCGAAAATAGAAAACCCAAACAAACAGAAGAACGACTAAATGCAAGAGACAACTTAGAAATACAAGCGAAAAAAATGAAGAATTTATCAAATGCTAAATTTCCAGAAGCAAAAGAAGGTTCAACAGTTCAACTTAAAATTCCTGATGTTGATAGAGGGAGGGGAGATCCTCGATCGGTAATTGCTGTGGTTCTCAAAATTACTGAAGACGGGTTCTATCAACTTGGATGTAAAAGTGGTATGTATAAGATTTGTTACATATTATTTACATTTAAATAATACCTTAACTTTTAAAATTATAGGTATTTTAAAACAGCTATATGCACGTTCCCAATTTACTACGTGTTCAGAAAACCTTATATCATTAAGCGATATACCTCAAGAAAAACAAATTTCTCTACGATCTGCAGCTACAGAACAATCAATTGGAAATGGACAAGGTTTTTTTAAATGTACTTGTATCACTAAATGCACCATTAATCGATGTATATGCCGTAAAAATGGTGTTTTGTGCAATTCAAAATGTCACCAAAATCAATCGTGTACTAATTTTGACAAATAGTGTTTTTTTAATGTTTATTCATTTTTATGATTTTTATGATTTATTAGATTTTTTTAAAATAATTTATAACATCAATTAATATTAATAATATTCACTTTATATTCACAAATCACAATTATCCACTTTAACTAGTTATTAATTTAAAATGTAAACACTTTAACGATTCATTATCTGTAATTCTATAATATAACTAGTTATTTTATGCATTTTCAAGATAAAGTATTTATATAATTTGAATGTAAACACTTTAACTAGAATGTTACGTTAAACTATAAAATAATTGGTTTAATACTTTAACGGTAACATATATAAGACAAAGAAATAATTGGCATAACGCAAATTAAAAAACTTTTTATTTTTATAGTGATTTTCTTTTAATTAAACTTTGATATTACAACATTTGTCTTTAGATAGTCTTTACATCTATTAACTCGTAAGGACAAGTCGTCATGGCATTCCCAATATCCGGATACATGTTAATAGATGTAAAGACTCAAGAAAGATAATACCACACACAATGCTATTTACAAAACAAGAATAACAAATGTTGTGAAATCAAAGTTTAATAAAAAGAAAATCACTATAAAAATGTAGTGCTAGAAGAAAATGGTGATTGTAGAACTTATAAAAGTTTTTGGAATGTTTTTTCATCTCCTAAGATGTGTAGACAAGTTTGTTGGACCATGTTTTAAAGTTGTTGGACACAAGATCTTAATATAACGACATTTAAAAATTTTTAATGTGAATATTAGGTTAAAAAATGAAAAATGTAGTGCTAAAAGAAAATGGTGATTGTAGAACTTAGAAAGGTTGTTGGAACGTTTTTTCTTCTTCTAAGATGTGTAGACTAGTTTGTTGGACCACTTTTTAAAGTTGTTGGACACCAGAACTCAATAATATGAAAAAAAAAAATGTCAATATGAATAATATGTGTAAATTGAAAAATGTAGTGCTAGTAAAAAATGGTGATTGTAGAACTTAGAAAAGTTGTTGGAATATTTTTTCTTCTTCTACGATGTGTAGACAAGTTTGTTGGACCATGTTTTAAAGTTGTTGGACACAAGATCTTAATATAACGACATTTAAAAATTTTTAATGTGAATATTAGGTTAAAAAATGAAAAATGTAGTGCTAGAAGAAAATGGTGATTGTAGAACTTAGAAAGGTTGTTGGAATGTTTTTTCTTCTTCTAAGATGTGTAGACAAGTTTGTTGGACACAAGATCTTAATATAACGACAATTAAAAATTTTTAATATGAATATTAGGTGAAAAAATGAAAAATGTAGTGCTAGAAGAAAATGGTGATTGTAGAACTTAGAAAGGTTGTTGGAATGTTTTTTCTTCTTCTAAGATGTGTAGACAAGTTTGTTGGACACAAGATCTTAATATAACGACAATTAAAAATTTTTAATATGAATATTAGGTGAAAAAATGAAAAATGTAGTGCTAGAAGAAAATGGTGATTGTAGAACTTAGAAAGGTTGTTGGAATGTTTTTTCTTCTTCTAAGATGTGTAGACAAGTTTGTTGGACCAAGTTTTCAGGTTGTTGGATACGAGGATTCAATATAATGACAATTTTTAATTTTTAATTGTTATATTATTTTTTATATGAACCAATTTTAACTACTTAATACGAAGTCTAACAAAAGTCCTACAACGTCTCAAAATTGTATGTGTATATTTTTTGATCTGTTTTTAGGGTTTTATTTTTATTTGTAGTGCTGGTTGTGAAGTTGGCGCTACAAACTTTGAACTTGAATAACTTTTGAAATACGTTCCAACAAATTCCAACAAGTTTTCAACAATGTCCAACAATGTTATATGAGTATTGTTGGTAGAGTTTTAAAGTTTTTATTAGCATATGTAGTGCTGGCCATGTAGTTGGCACTACAAACTTTGAACTTGAATAACTTTTGAAATACATTCCAACAAATTCCAACAATTGTCCAACAACGTCCAACAAGTCCGAGTAGAGTTTGTTGGAATGGTTTTAGATTATTGTGCCAACTTTGTAGTGCCAGTTTCACGTTAGTCGTTTACACCTCTATAATATAATATCACCATTTTCTTTAGTTCTTCTAAGAAAATTTGTATATGAGCTACTAAAGATAGCAAAACGCTATTATACTTGTAATGGATATAATAAATTGAATACATTTTAGTGAATTTTATTCATGGTATGGCGAGACATTGGTTGGTGTCACTGTATCATGTTATTTACTGCCTATTGGTACATTATAATAATATTATTTTTATGATTATTATAATGCAAAATTAATTGTTTTACTTCACTTCAATAATATGTTCATATAAATGTCGAACAAAAAGTGAGTGTGATGATGTCTTGAAAAAATTACATAATAATTAATAAACAGAATGAAAAATAATTTTTAAGGAACTATCAAGTAAACATTATTTCAAAACATAAATAACTATGTTTCTAGTATGTTTGTGATATATGTAAAATATACTAGAATAAGGTTATACATTTATAGAAAAAAAGAGAGAAAAGTTCTGCCAATATGTAAAAGTAGACCCTGTACATAGGTATCAAAATCGATATCAATAAATCAGAAGTTATACTGAACAGGTATATCAGTAACATATTCATTATATAATGTATAACAAAAAAGGTGAAAAATATTCATTGGTATTTGAAAATTTGGTATATGGAAGCAGGAATATATAGTTTCTACAATATCTCGAAAATAAATTTGGATATAAAGTACATTATAGGAATAAATAAGTAAAATTAAAATTGACAAAATATAAAAATACACAAATTTGATTTAATACATTTTTGAAATAGATATTAATGTTTTTTAAAATTGTTTGAATGTTTGATTTTGAAATAAAATGTGAGTTAATAATAGAGGGATTTTGGCACTCGAAAATCGATCATTAGTTTATTATGAATTCAAAAATAAAAAGGTGGGCAAGTGGGTGTCGCTCTGCTGTACAGTAGGTTACAAGTGGATCACTGTATAATGGATGGTATTACATTTTTTGAATTCAATGATATTATATCATTGTAAAAGAAAAACGAGAGGAGACGGTATGTCCTTCTAGGTAAAAGACATATTATATACTAATCTATGGTGTTAAAAAAAAATTAACCTATAATGAATTCCAAATTAATCATATCACAATATCCATTAGGTACTTATACGCGTTATACAAAAACAACAAACCCTGATACTATCATAGATATAGAGTAGTATACTTTAGGAGTTTCAAGTACCCACGAATAATATTATACAATCACAACAAAATAACTAAAACAGTTATTCTAGGTTTTTTATTATGTAATTTCATCAAAATTTGAATTTAAAATGTCTGTAAGAAATAACTGTGTTCATATATTTTTTAGATTTTTTGGTTACAGTATGAACTAGTTATGAGAACTTTCGTTTGGAATTTGCAATTCTTAGCTATAAAAACTGAACATTTTATAATTTATTAATTACAATGATTGATAATTTTTGAGATTTCGATAAATTTTGTCAAAATGCGATCTTTAAATGCTTATAAAAAAAAATTGTGCCTATGTATTTTTAATATTTTTCAATTGCTATTGTAACAATACATCAGGAGCCTTGTAATAAATTTTTACTTTTTTGGGCCCAACAGATAAAACTTGATTGATATTTATAGAAAAAAAAACTAAAAAAATTGAAAACTGAAAATGTTCGTAAACAGCTCAAAAAGAGTCAAAATATTTTTAAGGAAATCACTACATGAGGAATCGAGTGAATATCCAATGTTGTAAAAATTTGAATTTCAAACGCTCATAAAAATTTGATTTGACTTTGTGGTAGAGATTTTTTTATTGATAAAGGTAGACAAACTAATGAGTAATCTTGTATTACATTTTAAAATCTTAGATTTAAAATGAAAATTTTTACGAATTCTTAACTCAAAATAATTTGTTAACTTTCGTTATTTTTCCATATTTTGTCAATTTTTGAACTTTAAATGCTTATAAAAAAAAATTGTGACTAAGAGTTTTTAATATTTTTCATCTGCCTTTGAAACAATATACTAGGAGCCTTCTATTAAATGTTCGAACTTTCGAAACCAACAAATAAAATGTTATTGATATTTTTAGGACAAAAACTAAAAAAAAAATGAAAATGTCCCTAAACAGTTCAAAACAAATTATAATATTTTAAAAATTTTATCGTGTGTAGAAAATGCAAAATAAACAACCAGTGAAAATGTCATGTATACATATAAGTTCATTTGTTTTAGAGTTACACCAAAAACCAAAATCGATTTTTTGGAATTTTAAAATTTGACCTCCCGAGTGCACCAACTAGATTCACTTTCCAATCGAACAAGATACTGAAGTTGAAAATCGAAGCATTATTTCGACTACTTATCGTGTACACAGACACAAAAATAAATAAAAAATTTAAAAAAAAACACACATCATTGTAAAATCAATACATTCATCGTTCCACTCAGAATCTAAAATATTATTAATCTTACTACATTGTTTTTTTGGGATATTATAGAGAATATAAAATATTTTATTTCTAAAATATTGTAAATAATTATTGAATCAAAAAAACAATATTTCTTTAAATACTATTACAAATATATATGTATTTTAAATTTTAAGTTTATATCAATTACAACAGTCTTATGAAACTTTCTTTTTATAATATTTTATAAATTATTAGTTTTTCAATAAAATACCAAACTACGAAATACTTTTAAAGCACTTTAATTGAATATCCTAAAAAAAAATTGAATATGTTTTTCGTTCTCCTGAAAATCTAAAACTAATAAGACGTAATAAGCTTCAAATCAAGTGTTTTCAGTATGCTGTTTGAATATATTATAGATCAGTGGTCGGCAACCGGCGGCCCAAGCGTCTATTGTATACAGCCAGCTTTAAATCGAAATTGGATTTCTGAACTGGCTTTTTGTGTTGATATATGGAAGTATATAAATGAAATCAACATAAAACAACAAGGTAAAAATCAATGTAAG